CGATTTCGGTTTAGTCAATGAATAAACCGACTATATTGGGTTGGTTGAAGAAAATGACTCAAACCGACCCAACCCGACCCGTGAGCACCCCTAGTTAAAATTTTGATTGGATAGTTTGATTTAAAATCATACTAGCGGGGACTTGTGCAGTGCACGGGATTTGTTAAGTAAAGTTAAACAATAAAACACATAAGAGTATACAATTCTTTTATATTTGTAACTTTTTAAATAATGATTAACTATTTATATTTTATAATACTTTCAATAACTTTTTACAATACAAAAATAACAATAATTTATTTCAGCTAAGCTTGTTCATCAAATTGATGAAACCAACCAACCCGACCAACTCGACTTGAATTGCTCAGTTTCTAATATTTCCAGTTGAAATTTGGATCAGTTTCGCTGTGGCCATTTATAAATTGACCAAAATCGAATGACCCAACCACAAATATATATTAATATTTTTATATATAAAATATAATTTTTTAATACGGGAAAATGGGGAAATTCTCATATTTCTTAGTCTCAAATATTTCATATTATCAATTTATTTTTTAATAATATTAATATAATTTTTAAAATTTAAAATTAAGTTTTCAATGTAATCTTTTAAACCAATTGAGCAAGCTGAAAATTAACCCAAACCAATACAACCTGATTTACTTGGTTTTCACTAATGGTTAGTAGATTTCAGGCGACCAACTCCCCAACCTGACCATGTCRATTTGGTTGGCCAAATAGCCTACAATCGAACTAAACCAGGTTGTGATCAACACTCCTAATTTCATCTAAATTAATATTTTAATCTCTAATAAATAAAAGTAGTTTAGTCTCCAATAATTATTAAAATTTATAGCAAAAATGCACAACAATTGAAAATATATTGATAATAAAAATAAAATAATTACAACAATTACAAAAATACTAAAAAAATATATTAAGTTAGTCAACAAATATTGTAATCTCAAAAATACAATAAATACAATAAGTATAATAAATTAAATTTAAAATGTTAAACAACAGTAGTTTAATATCCAATAATTATTAAAAATTTTCTGTTAAATAACAAACAAATATAGATTTATACATAATAATTGAAAATATATTTATAAAAAAACTATAAATAACTGATGAATATACAATAAATATTAATTTTAGTATATTAAATATATAATAAATATATATTAAGATTTTAAAATCATTATTAATGAATATTATTTTTCTTGACTTATTAATTGATGTAAGTAAAATTGGTTATTTAAAATATTATTTAGTTATTTAAATAATATCCTTATTTAAATTTTATAATTTTAATTATTAATTTAATTTAATAATTTATAAAATTATAATTTATTCTATTATTACATAATTTCATTATTAATTTTGTAAAAAAATTGAATTATTATTAATTTTAATATTATGTTATGATTATTTTATTTTATTTTTTAATTTATTGCATAATTTTGTTATTTAACTTTTAAAATATAGTTATGATGAGTATTTTGTTATTTAAAATATTTAGTTATTTAAATATTTAAATAGTATATTAAATATCTAAAATACTCATTATCTGAATTTAAGATATTTAGTTATTGAAATATTTAAATAATATTTTATTTTTTAATGTTAAGTTTCTATTATTTGAATAACATTTAACTTGAATAATCTAAAAAATCATAATTTATATTGTTAGTAGATAATTTCATGATGAATTTTGTAAAATATAAAACTATTAATAATATGAATATTATTAAATCTATTATAATTATTTTTTGTATTTTTAATAATTATTATAAAATTTATACTATTATTACATAATTTCATTATTAATTTTGTAAAAATATTACATTATTATTAATTTGAATATTATGTTATGATTTTTTTTATTTTATTGCATAATTTTGTTATTTTAACTATTTAAAATATTGTTGTGTTAAATATTTCGTTATTTAAGAAACATAGTTATTTAAATGTTTAAATAATATATAAAACATTTAAAATACTCATTATATACATAATTTCGTGATGAATTTTGTAAAAACATAAAACTTTTAATAATATGAATATTATTAAATCTATTATATTTTTTTGTTTTTAATAATTATTTTAAAGTATATACTATTACTACATAATTTAATTGTTAATTTTGTAAAAATATTAAATTATTATTAAGTTGAATATTATCTTATGATTTTTTATTTTATTGCATAATTTTGTTATTTTAACTATTTAAAATATAATTATGTTAAATATTTCGTTATTTAATTTAAAATTTCTTTAGATAGAAATAGATAAAAAGTGGCAAAGATGATAAATAGGAATTAAAGATAATTTAGAGAGAAATTCTCTAGTAAATTAGAGATAAGTTAGGAGATAAATAGGAATTGGAGATGATTTAGGAGTAAGTTTAGGATAAATTTTAGGAGAAGAGGTTGTTGGAGAAGGAGAACATCTCATTGGTTCTTTAAAAAATTACATGGAATAAAAAAATAAAAAATGAAAAAATTTCTTGACAGCTTTGTTTTAATATTAATATATATATATATATATATATATATATATATATATATATTATATGCAGTATACCAAGTTTCATCAGTGTGTGTCTATGTGTTTGTGATAAAGATTTTATCCCTTTTTTTCTTGTATTTTATCATTTTTCTTTGTTGAATAGATGACATTGAAAATTGTTTTAAGTATACATAGCAAATTAAACAAAAAATCTAAAAAAAAAAAGTTAAAAACCATGTGTCAAAGTGCTACTACTAATACACAAATTTCAACACTTCAAAAAAAAAGATCTCACTGAAATTTCCTCAAAGATAGGCTTTTCCCAACCTCAAGATAGGCTTTTGATTCTACACTTACCTTGTTAAAATGGGTTTTCAGTTGGCGGTTTTAAGTGCTTTTACATTCTCCATGGTCCACAGTCTACGCAATAAACAGACTTGAGAAATTCTGGACTGCTGTTGAGTGTTGAATATTCTCACCTTGAAATCAAAGATGTTTATCAATATGTCCATTTCAGAGCTTGTTTTTTTATTTTTGTGAGAGTGAAAACCTTAGAGGAAGGGGCGGTTTTGTTAAGGGCCGAAGGCTTGAAGTAGTTAAACTGAATGACTCGTTGCTTTGTTTGTTAGTAGGGAGGGCAATTTTACTCATAAAATTGAGGCTATTCCTAGTAAATTAGTAAAATATTTTTAGATTTAATATTGATTTTTTAAAATATTTATAAGTTTTTTTCTCAAATTCTTAAAATTTCATATTTCTATTTTAAAGTATACCTAAATTGTCATAATTCAATTCTTAAAATATCCCAAATTCTCATAATCCTATCTTATTTATAAAATATTCATAAATTAAATTATTTTTAGGTGATTGTCTCGGCGCAGGGAAAATTCGAGGATTCTTCGTCTTTGATGGGACAAAGACGGGAGTAGAGTATCTTGAATACGGGGTGGGGATGGGGATGAGGTGCACCACCCTAAACCTGCCCTATTGCCATTCCTATTTGTTAGAGAGGAGGTACGTTGTAGTTTGAGGGTAAAGGCATGGTTTTGATAACCAGAGCAGACCAGACATGACTGGTTGACACGAGAACTGGTCAAGTAATCGGTTTCATTTCACCCTAAAACCACTCCTAGGACAAAAAACTGTTGATTTTATCAGCAACCCACTGACCTAGCCAGTCAAATCATCAACTCGTCCACCTAGACAACAGTTTTGGCCCTTTTGATTTTATTTATTTTATACTTTTTAAAACAGGCCATCCATTCAGATTAGACGATTTGACCATTTGACCCGAGAACAAGTGGCCAGAACAGTTCTATGTCCGATCCGTTTTTTTTAAACCTTGCTCATTGCTTAAGGGCCTTAACAACACTTGCGAAAATGAGGTAACCGGTACTTTCAAAATCCAATAGTCAAGTCCATTTGTTAAAGCCACACAATGCCATTTACGCCTTCAAAGTTCAAACATTTAAAAATCCTAAATTTACCTTTTACATATTTTATGAGACTGCTTTGCCCCAGTTCTTAACCTCTTTTTCTCATTTTCTCTCTCTCAAAGTTGAATAAACAAGAGTTGAAGCTACAGAACAAATTATGTTTGATTCCAAAGAGATATACTAATTATTCAGACTCAAACTCTTAATGGGCAATGTATTTTGATAAATTTAATCAGCTAATGAACTTGGACTCGAATATTAATTTTTAAAAATATAGGGTATCTCCTTGTTGCAAATGAAAATTGAAGCCATTAAAAGTACAGGGTACCTCCCTCTAATTTTCCCAATAATTAAAATAATCGAATCCTTAAATGTCCAGTAATCAATCCAATTTCAAGTCTCAACTTAGCCATTAAATTTCATGAACCACTTCACTAGAACTAGAAGATGAATCTAGCAATAAGTGATTCAGTTCAGCCACTTCAACTCTCATCAAATGGCCCCAACACGTGGTCAACACTGAATTGAATGTACAGAGCATGTTCTGAGTAGATTCTGCCAACTATTGGTGGGATTTAATTTATTTCCTTCCAAACATGACTTTTCTGCAACCATTGTCTTTATTTATTAACTTGTTTCCAAAAAAAAATAAATAAAAGACTGTTGTCTTCATTAACTGAGGCATGGAGAATTGGAGATTATCAAAAACATTTGAATTTCAAAAGTAAAACCAAACCACAGTTTCAGTTTCCAGAAAAGAAGTAAGGCGCTGGAAACGAGAAATCAAATGCTCAATCACATCTAGGAAACGCAGCGTCTGGGAGGAAAACCAGAACCCATTTTTATGCAACTTGATTGCAGGCAAATCGAGGAAACAAATGTTTTTAAAGGGGGTAGTGAGGCGGAGATTATTCTATTTTATTTTACTGCATTCAATGTTTACACAGCTTTTCTGAGCTTTAATTGCTCCACCATTTCCCCACAAAATGCTCTCATATGTCATCTCAGACTGGAAACGCTTTCACATTTGAATTCAAAATTCATGGATGGAAACTGTAGAATGGAGAGGATAGAACTAATTCACCAATCACCAGTACCAGTAGAATACCAATTTGGGGGGTTTGAACGACAGAAACTGCTTCAAACTGCCAACTAACACATTAATCCTAACCTTTTATTTGGTGGGTCATAGATCAATGTCCTATCAGATGGTCTACCCACAAATCAATGGTCTAGATTGATGATTATCGAAAACTCCAAGGTGGGGACAACAGCATAGCCATGAATTGCCAAAGATGGATTGAAGAAAAATGAAGGGCCAAGGTTTATATATAATTTCCCGGGCTTAAGGAATCGTTGCTGGGTTTGCTAAGCTTCGTTCCGGCCGCTGCTACACGTGTCGGTCGGCTCCGAGCAACGACAGCGATTCTGGCGGACTTCTGTAAGGACGAAAAATCTTCACAGGTTTGCATTTGCAGAAATGGCTACGGGATTTCTGAGATTTTGCTACCACTCGAATTGAAAATGGAGATATGGAGAAAAGAGACGATTTTTTTATACATTCCCTTGCATTCGTTGCTTCTCTTTTGGTTTTCTGGCATCCTTTTGCTCGTCTGAGAATTCATGGAAGCTGCTCTAGAGCCTTCAGCTTCTCCATGGTATGCCTCCTTCTCTCGTATTTTTTTTCTTTGTCTCCTTTTTTCTTTAGATTTAGCTTCTGGGTTTGTCTGGTTTTATGAAAATATGAAACATTCATTTCTCCCCCCTGTCTGTAATGGGTTTTCACTGTTTACTGGGTTTGTGTGCGTGGGGGGGGGATGGTATTCTGTCTTTTCTCTTTCCTCTTAAATCTGTTTTCGTAGTTGAGCATTATGTATTTCAATGTAGTAACAAACTCGATTTTGTTTTACGTCGTTTTCTGTTTCCCTCTTTTTGTTCTCATATGGAAAGATAGTCTCGTTTCAATTCTTTCTTCTTTTTTCTATTCTTTCCATCGTGCTTTGTTTTTCGAGGCGGCCGATTTCTTATTTTTCTGTTTTCCATTTTCACCGTTCTGGTTTCAGCTCTCTCTCTCTCTCTCTCTCATTTTCTCTTTTTCGATTTTTCCTTATCATGGGTTCTTTGTAATCTGCTCTTTTTACCTGCGTGTTTGATATTATTATTTGAATGGGTTTATCTCCACAGTGAAAACGGTAACGGCGCCAGTGCCGTCACCGGGAAACTCCCGGTAGGCGAGGGTACTCCGGGTGAAGATAAAATTCCGGTGGCTGTGCTTTACGTCTCTGTTTCCGCTCAAGGTGAAGAACTGAATTCCCTATATCTGAAGACATCCGGAATCACATTTTTTCGATTTCATTTTCAGATTTTCTTATTCGTATCATGCAATGCTTTTGTCTTCCTAGACCTTAGATCTTTAGACATGGAGAAGGAGCGAGTGGACGACTCTTCTCCTCGGGAAGTTCTAGAGGACTGCCTCCGGAGCTTAGAATCTGAGACGGGTTCATCCAAAGCCAGTACATCGGATTCTGATTCTCAACCCAATCGCAGAGCCGTCTCCCATTGGCAGGAATTCGTTCGGCTGATAAAAGCTCGAACAATAAAGCGATTATACACGTTTCCTCCATTCGTAGTTCCAAAGCTTTCAAAAAGGAAGAGCAGAAACACTCGAGCGAACCCCATCTCTAAGCCGAACCCAACTGAAGATGCAAGTTTCTGCAGTATCAAGTCTTCCTGGAAAAACTTTACACTCTCAGAGCTCCAGAATGCAACCAACAATTTCAGCCCTGGTATTCACCTTGTTTTTCGTCAAATGGGTTCAAATGCTTTCTCCTTAGAATCTTTATAGACAATTTGACTGGAGCTTCAATCATAAACTTACCAGTTTCAGAGAAAACATCTCTTTCATTTCTTTTATTGTAGGAAATATAATTGGGAAGGGCGGTTATGCAGAAGTTTACAAAGGGCGGTTGAAAGATGGGCAGTTTGTAGCAGTCAAGCGGCTCATTCAAGGAACACCAGAAGAGACAATTGGGGATTTCTTATCTGAGCTTGGGATTATAGTCCATGTGAATCATCCTAATACCGCGAAGTTGATTGGATATGGGGTTGAAGGGGGAATGTATATTGTTCTACAATTGTCTCCACATGGAAGCTTGGCATCTCTGCTCTATGGTTTGTTCATCATGTTACTATCTGTCTCTCAAACTTTCTGTTGATGGTGGGTTAATATGTTATTTTGACATTGCTTTTTGTTTACCTGCAGGTTCAAAGGAGAAATTGAAATGGAGCATTAGGTACAAGATTGCTCTGGGAACAGCTAAGGGTCTTAAGTATCTTCATGAGAACTGTCAAAGAAGAATCATCCACAGAGATATCAAGGCTTCTAATATTTTGCTTACAGAGGATTTTGAGCCTCAGGTACCATTCAAGTCTGTGGAGGATCAAATGATATGATCATGGGTTTTGCGGAAGTTTCATGTTTCTATTACAAATTCTTGAATATACTATCAATTTGAGATTTTTGGAGAGAATTTTCTTTTGATATCTTATTATGCCTTTCAAGATTTTTTTTTTTTTTTATTCTCATTGCAGGTTCCATCCTAACAAGTTCTCTTGTTTTTTTACTGAAATTTTGCAATTTTTCATAGTGCTTATATTTCTTTTACTGATCTTTTTCCACCTTTTATTATCTTAATATAGCAAATTAAGAACAATGGTATATTGCTCAGAACAATGATGTTTATTTGTTTATGTTTTTTGACTGTGCTTTGGAGCTCATAGTAAATTCTAAAATGGCCAATTTCAATACAGATTTGTGATTTTGGACTAGCAAAGTGGCTACCTGAACAGTGGACTCATCACATCATACCAAAATTTGAGGGCACATTTGGGTCTGTAAATCTAGGAGCTAAGACTTCCCATTTTTCCTGAGCCCTGTAGCGAGATTTTATTCTTATCTTTTCCTTAGTGTCTTACTGTTGCAGTTACCTTGCTCCTGAGTACTTCATGCATGGAATAGTAGATGAGAAAACTGATGTATTTGCTTTTGGGGTACTACTGCTAGAGCTCATCACTGGACGCCAAGCTCTGGACAATTCAAAAAAAAGTCTTGTGATGTGGGTAAGTTCTCATCTGCTTCCATTTGTTTTTTTTTTTTCGGTAGCATGCTAAACTTCTCATTTGGCCCCAGAGGATAAAGTCTGAAATTGATGTGGGTACTTCTTTCTGTAGGCAAAGCCTTTGCTCGATAAAAACGACATTAGGGAATTAGCTGATCCTTCTCTTGATAATGCCTATGATCCAGAACAGATGAATCGTGTGGTTTTATCAGCATCTTTGTGCGTACAGAACTCTTCAATTCTACGCCCTCGGATGAGTCAGGCATGTTTTTATCTGCAATTCCACATTTAAATTAGTAAGACTGGACGTTGATGCACACCTAGAAGAAAACCACCTAAAAGAATAACTTAACTGTTTGATCTCTCAAATTGTTCTTCATGGTTGGTAAAATTGTACAGCAATATCTTTATGTTTAGTGACTGATATTTACCATGGGAAAGTTTTCAAAGTCAAAACAGATCAAGTATTAATAAACATCTTTGGTCCTTCCAAGCTGGACAAAACAAATTAAACATTAGTAACTTTTATATCTACAAGAGAGAGAGAGAGAGTATCCATTTAGTCTTTCCATAGACTCTGATAAACATGGTTTGAGGCTTTGAGCTGCATGTTGATCTGCCTTTGCCTTGCATGCAGGTTGTACAAATTCTTAGAGGTGATGAAGGGAGCTTGGACTGCGTAAAACTATGCCAAAACCTAGGCCTTCAAAGGACCTACTCAGTAGAACTATTTGATGCAGAGGAATACAACTCAACAAGGTACCTGAGTGACCTTAATCGGCATAAGGAGATTGCTTTAGAGTTCTGAAAGCATTGACAACCGATTGCGTCTTGTAAACTTCTAGAAAGAAAGTAGATGTTGTTTTGTCAGGATGTGTAAATCGATTTCTTGTGTAAATATATGATGCGATTTTGGATATTGAAGCTGCTTTTCTTTCTTTTTTCTTTTTTTTTGGGTTGGGGGGGGGGTGTTAGAAGATTTTGAATCCGCCTTTTAATGTATATTCCAGAGGAACCTAAATTTGGAACCTGAGAAAGGAGCCTGAAAAGTGAAGTCAGGAGGAGGAGGAACATAATCAGAAAAATCCTTGGCAATTGGCGTGGGTTGTGAACAAAAAGCAGGACTATCCTGTTTTGTGTGCTAAAAATGCTAGAAAGCCTAAAATTTGATGGTGAAACACCAAAACAGGAAACTGAGATGAAAGGAAAATAAAGAATTGGAATTGGAAATGGAAATGCATTGAAGATCATGGTGATGAGGTCACAAGCGATTGGTCGAGGCACCAAGGTGGTGTTCTAGGGGCAGAAATTCTGACGGTCAAATTAACAGAATTGGCAATAAGGGTGAACTAGAGAGCAAGAGAGTAGAGTGAGATGTTCCAAATATACGGTTGGAATATGCTGCGAGGCGTTTGTAGGGTGCAGATGTGAATTCTGTATTCATAGGGGTGAGAGTCATTATACATGAGAGTAGTGGATCTCACTATGGCTCCCTAGGTCAGTACATTCCCTTTGCTCCCAATAGGCACGTGGTTGGCTGTTAGAATGCTTTAAGTGCATGGGTCTTAATGGTTCAATCAGGTCGGCTGACGTGTAACGATCGAATGTTACAGCTTTCCATGTCATGCCTAGGTCATTGGGAGGTGTTCCTAATGATGATGTCATCATTAAGAGATGTTTCTAATACATAGTGATGTGATGTGGGATATTGTTGGGGTTGATTCCGTCTCTAATAAAACTATCAGGTTGTGAAATTAAATCAGTCCCCTACAGCATCCCACTGTCATGTATGGGGAACATCTCCCAGGATGTCATCATTGTAAGATGTTCTCAGTACACGGCAGGGATGTGTTGTGGGACGTTATGGGTGGCTGATTTAAACTCCCAGGTTGCCCTCTGAGGTGATTTGAATCGTCCGAATCACTTTCGGCCAGTGTACTAAGTGCTTTGTCAGCTCTGACAATGGAATGACATGTTGCTATAGAAATGGGTCCATGTGCCATTTTTTTCCACGTCACGACCCTTAGAAATGTGATGCTCTTCTCCACTTGCCTGATGCCTCTATGAGCCGACAAAAAAATTGTAAAACACTTGAAAAGCAATCTTCACGGGTGGCTAAGGCTAAAGGACCTTCACCTTATGGAGTGGAAGGTCTTCCCCAAATACGTACCAACTTCCAAGCTAAGTTGTATTAATTGACCCCCTACCTGCTACCTCTACTTTAAAGAAAATTCCAAATTTTCGTACCTCTTTGGCTGTGAGTGAGAGGCTTCAGAAGCCCTGTTATCTTATAGCAATGCTGATTCATGCATACAATAAGGCAATAAAGAGTCCAGATTCATTTGCTCTTCGCGTTTCCTTCTAAATTCCAATCACCTAGAATAACAAGTGTTGCTATAATTAGCATTTTACCAGAAGCATTTCGATTTTCTAGAATATTACTCCTTTCATCTTTGATTTTGAGGGTAAAAACTTAAGGCCCTATTCGTTTTTCCGTATGTAAATGCATTTATTCATGTTTTTTTATTTTTTAGGGTAAATAAAATAATAAACATTTTAGTCATAAAAATCTATTATTAAAAATAGTAATTTTGTCCCATTCAAGTATTGACAATTTTCTCTTCAGATAGAAAATTTTAAAGATATCACTTACCTACATAATCAGGGTTTAAGGAAAATAAAGTTTTCATAGATTACTTAGTCAATGGAATTATAGAAGCTTTAGCAGGCAACTGAAACAACATTCTGTGCAACTTTAAATTTGAAAGGAGCAATTTTAAAGATATCTATCCAACTGCCACCTTGGTTAAGTGCCCATTTGAGAGGGCTGAAGCGCATAAGCAGCTTCTGGCTTTCCGAGGTCGGCCCTACACTTACAGCCTATAAATTATGTTTGGTGAAAAATCCAGAAAGTTCTAACTGGTGTCGTAGGTAATTTAAAGCGCTGTCTGTTTCCTCTTCAAATAATTTATCTAGAAGGCTTCAATAAAAGCAGCTGAATCAGCTTAGATGAATCTTACCCATCTCTCCCAAATGGGCCCTATCTGAAATGCTTCAATGCAGCTGGACCAATTTAACTGAACTTTCAGCTCAGCCCTCTCAAACAGGGCCGCAATATCCCTTTTAAGCATGGTTTACCATGTATAGGACTCAATGACTCAAACCAAACTATCAGACCTCTATCGCATCTCCCAAGTTCTTTTCTCTATCAAGTACTGTTAATAGAGATAGGATTTGCTCCTCACAGAACGTGTCTCACACCAATTTTATAGTGCATCGCAGATATATTGAGAACATATCCTGATGTAATCATTCATGAGAAGATATTTCCAACGCACAGCTATGATGCATTGTGAGGATTGTGTGAGGAGCAGATGCGAATTCCTGTTAATAACCCAACCCAGCCTATCCAAACTACTTAGACCAGCGCAAATAGCAATAGAATTGTGGGCTTGACTCAAATGCTGTCTAGTTGTCTTATTGGATCCAAGTTCTGGGCCAGGGCCATCCATCCATTAGATCATTGGGGTGCTTGGGATTTGGGGTTTGTGTGTCCGGTTTTTGATTCCTGACAGTACTGTCGGTGTCTTTGGACACTCATGAGCCATGTGTAGGCGTCAAAGAAAAGAATAGAAACTGTCAATAACAAAAAAAAAAAAGGGATAAGTGGACTGCAATCCACCTTAGAAATCTGAATTGCAACTCCCTCCTAGTCTATTAGTAACCCACCTATAAACCGCATTTTACCCGTGAATTTGGCATCAATCTACGGGCAGAATTCAGTCCATCCCTAGAAATCCTAGCTCCACCCTGAGGGTAGACTGAACTATAAAAATTTGGCTGATTGGGCCTTCTTGGGTTCATCCTTCACATTAGGTCTTTGGAAGAAAACGCAAGCTTAACCTCTTACCCTAAGCTCTGCCCTATATGATAAGGGGCCCTTTAATAAATGTTGAATTTGCTGAATTGAAACACTTGAAAAGGTCCATTTGGTTTGTAGTAGAAATCAAAATTAAAATCCTTTAGAATTGGAATTGAAATTAAAATAGTCTATTTTTCATAAACTGTTTGGTTCGAATAGGAGTTAGAAGGAATTGGAATAAGCTGAAATGAGATTTCCTTCTAAAGAGAGGGAAAGGAAATGACCATTCCCTCAAATGGGGGAATGTCATTCCAGCAGGAGGGAATGGGATTCTCTGATTCTGCCCAACAAAACAATTAAAATTGGAATAAAATTTTTAAGATTTGAATGACAATTTTCTTTTCATTTTTTTAATTGTTAAAACAATTTAATAATAAAATTGTTAAGGCTACAGTGCTCTCCTCAACCTCGGTTTCAGCCATTATGAAACCAATAATATCCTTAAAAACTTATTCGCCAAAAGACAATGCAATAAAATTTTCAGCTGTTATCAAAGGCCCCAGTCCGTGTCGAGTGTTGACTGCTGAGGCTCCACAACCAGAACTTTAGCTGCTATAAATAAACTCATAAAGGATTCCAATTAGATGGTGTTTGCGGATTGTCCGAACAAAAAAATGTGCATGTGTGTGTGAGAGAGAGAGATTTTTTTGGAGCCTAGGAGGGTAAATATGACATTTTTCCATTGTTAGAATTAGAGCAAAAAAATATATTTATCACAATTTGGGTTGATAGCTAAACTAATGGTTCATTTGGTTCACTGTTGGAATCGGAATGGTCTATTCCCTTCACCTGTTTGGTTCAAATTGGAATCGGAATCAAAATCAAAATTGGCTAAAACAGATTGTCATTCCCAGGATTGGGGGAGGAAATGGTCATTCCCCCAAATGGGATTCTGATTCCACCCAACCAAATAGTTAGAATTGAAATGGACCATTCTGATTCTGATTCCATACCCCTATTCCTACAAATCAAATGAACCGTAAATATTGATTACCAATCCACGGTAGTTCAATTGACAGGTTCAATAACTTTTTGTAGTGGATACTTGGAATCAAATCCCGCTGCCATTAGGATTGGGGTTATGTTGTATGGGTTTTGGTGGGAGATGGAATACGGGTTACCCTGTTGTATGTGTAGCCCCATAGAAAAAAATGCATTAATTTACAAAAAGGAAACACTAATTTGCTTTTTGCTGATGTAAAACTTGTTTTTATTTTAGAAAATAAAACTACCACCCTCCAAATCCTCTACTGGCCCAATGATATACGAACTCATTTACGTTAAAGGTGGTATTCATCAAAAACACATTTGAAATTGCTTATTGCTTTTTTGAATGATGCACTTATTCAGAGTTTTATCGACTGGAATGTTATAAGTGAATCTTCAGTTCATATTTGGGCTTCTACTTTGTGAATAAGATCCAATACATTAAATTCTGAGTTGGGCTTGACCCATATGTATGAGCCGTATGGTTTCTCTTACTCCTATCTTATTTCTCCTTTTGTTTGGATCAGGCTTAGCTTTACCCAACTTAGAGCCCACAAACGCATTCAAGGCAACATAGTGAATCTATCCATGGATCCATCAGTTTAGGCGGTGTTTGCCACTGTGTTCATCTCATGGATGGGACCGTTTCGGTCCCACCCACACCCCAATTTCTCATTCACAATAAAAACTTGTGGTTAGGGCCCGTCCACACTCTATCTTTTATCCCCTGCTTCACACTCTTCCTGAAAGGCTGAAACCCTATTGTATGTTTTACATTTTAATATTTTTGCCAATAAAATATTAATTTTTTTATTTTTTTATGTTTTTAATATTTTTATCGATAAAATAATATTTTTAAATATTTAAAATACATTTTTAAAATTTTAACAATTTTACTATTGTTTTTATAAAAAATTAATATGTATTGGTTAATATTAATTCATTGATGCATTTTTCATTATATTTATCATATAAAATGTAAAAATTAGATATTTATGATTAACTGTGTAGATCA